AGGCCTGTAGGTCATGTGATGTAGCTCTTGGGGTTTTCTTTATATCTCAGTCTGACCTTGGACTGAACTTGCTGGGACGCCCACTCCTGGAAAGATTGGCAACTGCCTTGAAGGCTCTCCATTTGTAAACGATTCTCCCGCAGAATGGTAAATTTCAAATAGTTTGGAGATGGCCTTATAACCCTTCCCACACTGACAAGCAGCAACAATTGCTTCTCTGAGGTCATGGCTAATGTCCTGTCTTCTTGGCATGATGTAGACACACACCTGAGTTCTCCAGAACACCAAACTGCCAAAAGTTCTTCTTTTATAGAGGTAGTCACACTTCTTGATGATTAACTAATCTTAAGCACTTCAATAGTTACACCTGGTTGCTAATTACTCTCTTAATGATTGTGGAACTAAGAAGGGTGTACTTATTTTTTTCCACCTCATTTCTGAATGTTGGTTTACTTTTTGGGAAAAAATGACTACAATGAAATCTGTGGTGTTTTTTGTTGTCACCTGAGGTTATTATTATTATTTTTTTTATTTTATAGAGGTTGGTAAGGACCACCCAATTGTTATTTAGGCCCTGATAAATAAAAACATAGAATTGAAGGAGGGCAGACTTTCTTTTCCCCCATGACTGTAACTGGATTGTAATTACCTTTCAGTGTAAAACTTTAAAGGTACACTATATGAATCTTTCTAATACTACATACTAAAGGTACAAGAGATGTACACTTAAAGGTACCACCCCAGTCACAAGGAATAGTACAGACAAGGAAAGATACAATTTAGTATCTTTTTTCTGAGTGTACACTGGATCTTGCTCGTCTCTTTGTTTCTTGTTTTGTTTCAATTTTTCCAGCCGAGAAATTTGCTCTGCTCCTAATATGTGTTCCTAAGATGTCTGGCAGAGAAGACTGTGCTTCAGAGGCACTAGACTGAAGTATTTTTTAAACACTGTATGATGCAGCACAAATCAATACTAGACGAGTCAAGTCAGTTGCTATATTTGTTACGATGGTGCTGTATTTAACACTGTTTTCTTAAAGTACTTTGAGAAATTGTGTGAACAGAAGTAACTAGCTATTATTACCAACTATCAGTTAGAGGTTAACTGCCGGCTGAAGGAAGATGGCAAGGCTCTGGCAGTGGTGCCAGAGGCTCTGAGCTGGTAATCTGAAGTTTAAATGTTTAAATTTAAGAACTGCTGACCCTACGGCAAGAATTCTCTCTCTTACATTGTATCCTCTCTCAATTGTACGTGCTTTGAATAACAGCATCTGCTAAAGGAATAAATGCAAACACTGTCAATATTTTCCTTACGAATGTGTTTTGCCCTGCCAACAGGGCAGGACTTTCAAAATTATAAACTGTCCTGTTAAATAAACCAAAATTCAAAGATACTTCATCATTTGAAGATAGATTTCCAAAAAAAGCAGAAGCAGAATATCATTTTCACACTCACTGAATATAGAAGATACAGATGTAAATCTAGCAAAAGTCACAGATCATTTTTAACCACTGATAACCAATATATCAACCATAACTGTCACATCAGGTGAACACAGACTGTTGTGTTGTGCCAATAATAATAATAATAATAATAATAATAATAATAATAATAATAATAAGGCTTCATGAATGGCCTTAATGCATTTCAGGGAGGAAGAAATGTGCATACAGAATGAGTGTAAATTTCTGTTGCTTCAGACTTGACACTGCATTTAAACTCCTCCATGCTCTTGCCAGATTGTGGGCTGCAAAAATGTGGCCAGGAACCAAAAGACTTGGAGTTAAATGAAGTGTAAATTGTCAAGTGTCTGACTTTTTTCGCCTGATGTGCTCGTGCATTTATTAAATCAGCTTTCATCTAGTAACTCTGAGCTGCCACAAAATCACCGTGTTATAATCCAAACATCATTAGCTCAGTAAGAGCAGCGCTATTGCACCTGACCCGTGCAAGCTCGTGCTCTCCGTTAATGAGGCCGACCGCACGCGCACCCGCCCGCGAGCTTCCGACAAACTGCACGCTCGTGAACTTCGGAGCGACAAAAAAAAAAAACAAAAACAGAAAGCGAAGCCCACACGGCGCCTTAACGCCCGTTTTGCTATCTTCTATGTTTTTGTTTTCCTAAATCCGACCAAAGCCTTTGTGAGCTTCGCTGACACGGTGTGTTAAAATGTTTGAAACTAAAGTTAAGTGCCAAACGGGGGAGGAGGGCGACGTTCTGCTGCGCCGCGCGCTGACACAGTTCGCTTGACGTCAGCCTCCATCAGGAGGAGAAATAAAATAACACCCGCGATGTTCGTCGGTGCAACACAGCTCATCAGTGCAGGAACACTTCACCTGCGGTCGACAATAGCCAAAGATACACGCCTTAAACCAACTGCTGCTTTCGCCTATCGCATCAGGAGAAGCACAATAACACCAGCACGCAGCCAAATCCGCCCTGCTCGCGATGTTTCACCGAACAGAAAACCAATTCGTCCCGAGAAGGGTCGCGTACAGTTCACGACAAAAAATATGCATCGTTTCAAGTCGAGGTTTCCACACAAAAAAAAGCAGCATACTCACAGTTAAAGACACAATCCAGCTGAACGTCGAAGGAGATGTGTTTTTTTTTGTTATGATTTGTGTTTAAAAGGCCAGGCAGAGGGCTGATGTGTGGCATGGACGCTAGCTGGCTGCCCGCTGTCCTCTTCCTGCTTCGGCACGAGCAAGCTGCTCTCAACTTCAGCCGCACCAATGACAGCGGAGGCACGCGCAGCCTGACACTCTCACCATCCAATCAGGAGCAGCGCCAGCTGTTGTTTCCAAGCTATAACTATTTGTAAATAATGCACAACATATAAGCTAAGTTTAGCTAATCACTCTGGAGCTAAATGTTAAAACATCCACTACCCCAGTCTCTGAGAACTCCGAAGATTGAAAAAAATAAAAATACTTCAGGGCATGACTGGGCTTGAAAATGTCTTCAACTGTCAAATTCAAAGTTTTAGTTATAAGTAACATTTCTAAAAACAAACCAGAAATATGTACTTCCAATTTTTACAGTGTTCCCCTTTATCAGTTTTTTTTACACATAACAGCCCAGAATCCAGTTCAAGTTCTATTAGGTTATGTCAACAGACAACTCGACTACATCAAAACACTATCAAAATACACCACAGTGTAAAAGCATCTGTGTAAAAAACACCACAAATACACCACAGTGTAAAAGCATCTGTTATCAACATGGTTTCTACAAACCCTGCTGTTTTATGCCTTCATCTCATGAGGAACCACTAGAGTTAAAAAAAAAAATCAATTTTGTGTTTGTCAGTATGTGTGTGTGTGTGTGTATATCTATCTATCTATCTATCTATCTATATATCTATATCTATATATATATATCTGTATATATGGCCCCTGGAGGGCTAGTGGTTAGGCCACAGCGCTCTCACTGCTGCAGCCCAGGTTTGATTCCTGGCCAGGGAATCTACTCCAGCCACTGGGTCTGCAACAGTACGCTCTCAGTGCTGGTCCCAAGCGCGGATAAAACTGGGGAGGGTTTTTTCGGAAGGGCATCCTGCATAAAAACCATGCCAAATCAAATATGCAGACCAATGATCTACTGTGGTGACCCCTAACAGGAGCAGCTGAAAGAGGAACTATATATATATATATATATATATATATATATATATATGTGTGTATATAAACATACTGATGTGTTAATTCAGGTTTAAACTGTAGACTATGTTAATCGGTGATGGTTTGAAAGTAATATAATCTAACAATTTTTTCACCAATCATCCTGTTCAAAATTTTACACCCCCCTGGCTCTTAATGTATCTTGTTGCCTTCTTGAGCATCAGTGAATGTTTGCACCTTTTGTAATAGTTGTGTACGAGCCCCTCAGTTGTCCTCAGTGTGAAAAGATGGATCTCAAAATCATATATCCACTGTTGGAAAGGAGTCAAATATGCATATGATGTTATGTCTGTTATTCTATCATAGTAGTATCAAGACAGTACACGCATTACCTATATTCTCAAAGTATATACAGTATGAGCCCCGCTATTAATAAAACTCTATTTTAAATACTATACCCTCTGGTTTGGCTTTAAATAAATTAAACCACGCTTAACACATACAGTGCTCTTAGTTAGGATAGGCTACTGGCTAATACAGCAAATGGTTTGCCAGTTTATCAGCAAATTTATCAGTTTAACAGCAACATAGGACACCTGTGTTTATCAGAGTGCGATCTACACAACAATTGTCCAGTAGACTATTGTTTGTACAACATTAACCTTTTGTGAGAAAAATCATTTGCCAAAGCATTTGTTATGGCTTCAGTAGGCTTACTATATATTTATATAAGCTTACTATATATTTATATGTTTATGCACTGCTTAGAATTTATTTTAAAATAAATAAATAAATAAATAAATAAAAACACACACACACACACACACACACACACACTTTCTATAGAGTTTCAGTCCATGTAAGTCCAGGTCATGTACACCTGAGCCAACAAAATGTGGCTTTGAAAACATGCCCCTCTTAAAATTAAAGATTTACTTCTGAAATGTGAATCTGACTAATGATGTCTGTTTTGCTACTTGTCTAAGGACTGTATACACACATCCATTTTTTGATTAGCAATTGATATTCATGATACATTTTTTTTTTTTTTTTAATTTTGAAATAGGTTACAAACATGATAAACACACCCTCGCTTGGACAGCAGCTGACAGGTGAAAAAAATGCATCAAAGAATGAACACGTGAATGAATGATAATCATCATTAGATAAGCATCGTCTGCGATGAGCATCATTCATTCCAAATGAATTTCTTTTAAGTTTCAATTTGTGCTAAGAGGAAAACCAAAGAACACACACCAATCCCTCAACAAAATAAGCTGTGTAACTTTACCTAGCTGCTCTGAAGTAGTAAAGATGATAGAAAATGATTGCTGCAATATTAATACCATAAGGTAGTTAATATACAGACAATCAAGGCAGCTGTGGCTCAGCAGTTAAAGCTCTGGGCTGCTGACTGGAAGGTTATGAGTTCAAATCTCAGCCTAGCTGCCACTGCTGGGGCCTATAATCTTCATCTGTGCAGCTCAGTTTTAAGTCACTTTGGATAAAAGTGTCTGATAAAAAGCACAAACCAGTGTATTGGTATTAGAAGAATATACAAAACACATATTCTTAAAACTTTCAGGCACGTCATAATAACACAGTTGGAATTTTGAAACTTTATATTGCATCATCATACACTCTCTTTCCAGGCTAAGAACTGCAAAAGTGGTTGTTAGGAGTGCAGTAAGAAACCACCCAGAGCTAAATGAATTCATGTTTGGGCAAAGGCAGATATTTGCACAATTTTTCCCTAGCCAGTATTAACCAGTAAAACATCTGTATCAGGTTCACTGGTTTTGAAGAGAGTGTTTGGGAAATGGTTGCTCAATGCGGGATATTTTTGCAATGAGCTAATTAGCAATGCTATTACATGTGCATTTGCATGTACACAGGGGAACAGACAGAAATTTCAGAATTTGGAACCCAAGAGATCATAATATAGGTGAGACTAGCCAAACTAGGAAATGCTTTTGAACAGCAAATGGTCCTGCTTCATTCAAGTACAGGTTATTCACTGTGATGATCAGCTACAAATCAAATTTGAAAATCAAATTAAGAAGCTGTCTAATATCTACTCTACTGCTAATATCAGCTGTAGATTATAATTAAGGTTGCTTCTTCAGGTCAAATGTTTTGCTAATGACAGGAGTAAGAGAAATATCCACAAGTCTGAGATATCTGGTGCTATATGTGGGGTGGTCTGTTGAACAAAAAAACAAAAAGAACAAAAACAAAACAGTATTTAATCACTTTCTATTATCATCACTAATGACATTAGTGTAAAGTGTCAAAATCACATATTTGTAAAGTGTTAGATTTTACACTTTGTTGTAGGCCTATTTAATATTTTTGGGTCAAAATCTTTTTTTTCTCGCAAAAAAACAAAAGAGCCATTTTTGGCTAATATTTTTCAGTGGCATCCCTAAACATATATAGTTCACTGATTTTAAAAATATACTTGTATAATGTTAGTTCAGTCAAACATACACTGATAGATTTTATTTTACATTAACAAATCAAAACGTTGTTTATTTACCTTTGCAGAAAACGAATGAGCCGTGTGGGTCGAGAGCATGTGAGATGGGGAAGTCATTCCAGATTCACATGTTAATGGCTCATCTGTCATTTTATTGGGGAGAAAAACACTGCTATTATTGACTAATAACTCATAAAATTGTTATCTTTACTGCTCAATAGAGCCTCCGTTCTCTGAGCGCTCCAAGGCCAGAGAGTGCTAAACTTTCTGCCACTCTGGGGCTCCATATTTTTGGGTGACTCATGAGTCAGAAGAGAGTGCTGATATTGTGTCAATGTAATATAATAATAATATTGTGTAGGGATGATAATACTGTTATTTCACCAAGCCTATTGTGTATTGAACTGTAATGAACATAATCCCACTATCCTTTTGAGTCTAGTTCTTCCCAAGATTTCTTTCTCATGATGTCTCAGGGAGTTTTTCCTTGCCACCTTGTCACCTTTGGCTTGCTCATTAGGGATCTAAAACTACATCTCAATTTCACAAAGCTGCTTTGTGACTATGGCTATTGTTAAAAGTGCTATACAAAATAAAACTGAATTGAAAAATGAATTGAATATTTATTAAAAGTGCTACACAAAATAAAAATGAATTGAAAATCTAATTGTATTGAATACTTATTGTATGAAATAGATACGTCTTCCTGCCAAAACTGAGTTAAAGAACTTCCAACAGTACTGGCTATCAGTAAACACTGGAATAAAAACAGTAATAATAGGCAAGAAAGTACAATGGAGAAGAAGGGAGAGTTATTGAGATTATAGAGATTGAGTTAGAGGTGTATGAAGAGAAAGAATAAGCAGAAAGCTCAAATAAAATTCAGCTTACACTACAAAGCTGTGATACGAGCATGAGAAAAGCAGAATGTTTTCCAAAATTGCTTGAGAACATGTACACAAAATGTAATTGTGAATAGAACTGCAAAGAAAGTTCTTTTCTTGATCATTAAAACATTTTTATCTACCACACTTTCATAATGATTGAGTATAATTTATATGCCGGGAATTCACTTTGATCCATTCATGTCAAAGTTCTCTCTATGTACACACAACAATAATGCCAGCAAATACACTGCGTTTTCAAGTGATCAAATGTGTGTGTGAAACAAAGTTTGCTAAGGATGTAGTGTGTGTGGTGTTTCGATTTGAATGTTTCACTTAGAGAAGGGTTTTCATGATTTGGAGATAATCTCTGATTTTGTTTGAAGTACATTAAGATTTCCAAATGTGTGCATTGTTCTGAGAAATGTATAATAGAGAAGAGAGACCCTGTTCCCTGAAATGTAAGTAACTGAGAAAAACAATAACCCCTACAACACACGAACCAAATCCAAAAGCATTTCAGTGCTGATAATGATGCTGCAAGGCTGCCTGATGCAAGTGGGTTAAACCACCATTATTATCGGCGCCCTCAATCTGGGTATAGTGAAGTAGAGACTGGAGGAAGAGATGAGTACTTGTGTGAATGATTGAAAACGTGAGTGGGTGAGTGGGTGAATGAATGAATGAATGGGAGAAAGTGCACCAGCCCTATGGATTAAGCAGGATGTTAGTCACTTGTTCGTTTAAGCAAACAGAAGTAGCATTAATACATACAGGAAATGGAAATGTACCTAAAATACATGCAATATAACACAAATCAGCAATGCTATTCAAAACACCGCAATAAGTCAATATCTTTCTGATGTACATATGTAGGTGTATACTGTATTTTTAGGTCAAAGGTAACACTTTTTTAACCAATGCATTTTTGATACTACTATAAATCTTTGGAGGAATGAACACATATTCATTGTCTGTCCCTCTAAACAATTATGTAACCTTTCTTATACCAGCTATTTGCACACCATTGCTTTTACTGAGCCAAGGAGAACGCTGTAATTGTGCTTTTTTAAATTTCTAATATTAGAGGCCATTACACTGATGGAAATGAGAAACAGGTTTCCCGCCAGGTCTTCTATAACTTTACCCATGGTCTGCTGATATTATGATATCTTGGTTTGCTGAAACCATTATGTTTTATCAAAAGTTAGGAAAAAATAATATGTGCATATAAAAAGGTGAGATGAGGGTCATTTGCTAATTCAGTGCAAACCACAACCACAAAACACAATCTAGCCTTCCTTCAGTGTTCCTTACAAACCATTTCCCCAAAAGACATGCACATATGCTATCTGGGCTAGAGCATACCTAGGCTGGATGTTAGGTGCTTTCTGACAGTGTAGAAGGAAGGCATTCATTCATGCCTGCATAGAATGCTGACTGTTGCAATACCTTCATCTGGCCAATTCAAAGCCCAACCATATACAGTATAGCAGACATTCAACAAATGTTAACCTCCATAAAGCACTTGTTCACTACTCCATGCATTTTAAATTCTGCTGAAATGCTAATTACCTCTTTTGAGTGACCAACGATTTAAAAAAATGTTACTGTTTGTCAGATGTAACTTGATGTTCTATTGATTTGCTCGTCTTCTTAGATGTTGTGCTCAGCAGCCCATTTAGCTCGCTGTACTGGCGTCCCATCCGGGGTGAATTCTCCTGCCTTGCTTCCAGTGTTAATGTGATAGGCACCAGATCCACTGTGACCCTTTAGCAGGATTAAGCCATTACTGAAGCTGAATGAATATGTTATTATTGCACCTCGTGGTCAAAAATATGAACTACAGCAAGGGCTAACAGAGACCCATCAGGGCAGAAATCACTCTGCCCCATGCTCGCTCTGTGAACATACTGTTTACGAGTGAGGCAACAGCCTTGACAGTTAATGATATTACCTCTTCTGTGATGATCATTGAACCAAACCTGCTGTATCAAACACAATTTCTTTTAAAAATCCATTTTTTATAATCAAAATGAACATTGCCATCTTTTAGGCCATAGTTTTAGTCCTTTCTGGGATTAGAAAGGATGTGATTAGCAAGTTGAATCTATGTAGCTATCTATGTAACTGTGATAGAAAAATGTGTGCATCTGAAAGATCGACAAACTAAATTTCTTTACAAATGAAGCAAATTAAACCGTGAGGTGGTAGTATTATGTCAGTGATCACCTAAAGGAATTGTATTGTTTGACGTTTTCAGTCTATTTGTCTGTGCTGGGGTGATGGTTTTTAGACCAGACTTCTTTCTGTTTTCCTGTTGAAAATTGCTGTAAATAATTTTTTTTAGTTCATTCAAGTCTAGTCTCTCTCAACTGCCTATTACAGGGTTACTCTAAAAATTCACTATATAGTAGCCTATAGCATAAATCAAGCATGATAGCCACTTAATATTGTCTGAGGCTATGTCATTATTAATGTCATCCTGCACCCTAATGTACGGTCACAAGCCACTCCTGGACAGAACGTCACTCATTTACAATTAGAGTTAGCAAATTACAGTGATAAAATGGTGTAGTGGTGATACAAAAGGAGTAGAAGCGATGTGAGGTAGGCGGAGTTTAACTTTATTCAAATGAGATGTGAAAATGCAAAAATACTTCTATTACTGTTGGGAATAAGGGATGGTGGTGTAGTTCTTTTTCCCCCTCACTGTGAAGCAGTTATCTATGTTTTTAATCCTGAGCTCGTTTTTAATCCTGAGCAAGCCAGTTATACTTGCCATGCAGGATACAGGCTTGAACTGTTTGAACTTTTTTTTTTTTTTTTTTTGGAAATAGATGGCAGCGTCTGCAAGCGCAAATGTAGCTTAATATAATACTTGTACAAAATAATACACTACACAGATGCAGCTTATATACAACCAGCGAATACATTTTAATTTTTTTATAAGGAAGAAATCTGATTTAAGATCAAATGTGTAGCTATTTAGTTTGGGAGCCATACTAGTGAGGCACTAAAAAAAAAAAAAAAAAAAAAAAGACCATGGCAATCAGCAGTAATTCAGGTTAGAAATACACACTAATGAC